AAACCATTTCAGGTGACTACCTCTTGAAGCTCATGGAGAGAATGCCAAGAGTGTGCAAAGCAGTAATCAGAGCAAAGGGTGGCTATTTTGAAGAAACTAGAATATAAAACATGTTTTCAGTTATTTCACCTTTTTTTGTTAAGTACATAACTCCACATGTGTTCATTCATAGTTTTGATGCCTTCAGTGAGAATCTACAATGTAAATAGTCATGAAAATAAAGAAAACGCATTGAATGAGAAGGTGTGTCCAAACTTTTGGCCTGTACTGTATATATCTCACATTTTTCACATCACTATATCACCATTTAGACTAATCTGATGTTTGTAAAGTCTATAAACACAATGATTGAACAAACATTACTATTTCTGTGTGCACGTTTTGCTGGGCTAACCGTTAGCTGTTAGCCCTGTTAGCCGTTAGCACTGTCTGTAATAGGCAATAACTCATTAAACGGTCCGTGAAAAAAATATCTTTTCCAGTGGATATCTTAGTTACAACATGATTGACCTAGCAAAGCAGTTTTGTGTTGCTATGTGTGGTATTTATTCAGTTTTGGGAAATCACAATGTCTAGAAAGCATCAGCTGACAGGGACAGCTAACACTAGCAGCAAAGCTAACATCAGGACGTCATCTGTTAAAAGCCTCCCGTTGTCGGATACAACATGAAACTACTCCAGTTAGCTCAATCATGTTGTATCTAAGACATTCGCTGGAAAAAATATTTTCTTCACGGATGAGCACATGTTTGATAAAACAGAGTTTAATCCCTCGGCATCCATTTTCAAGCTCTCTGTGTGTTTGTTTCCTTGCGGACGAGAAAAGGGGGAGCGCACATTTCCGAGTAGGCGTGTCCTTTTCAAAAATGCAAGAGGCGTTGCTTTGTTGCCGGCCATTTTCGCCGGTGTGTTAAACACACTTTAGAAAGGAGTGTCCCCAAACTATCAGAAGGCGGAGATCTCTGATTGTCTGGTGGCGAGACTACTGGCACTTCAGCTACAAAGTGGTATTCAAGAGCTAAAGCAAGGAGGAAAAAGTGGAGTTCAAGAGGAAGGAAGGCTCGCAGTTTCTCTCGGTTGATATGAATGAATGAAGCATGAAACTTCTTGCTATTCCTCTCTACTTACTGGGCTACCACAGTGCTCAGCTCCATCTCCAGCTCTGCCTGGGATTTCTCTTTTCGGGCTCCCCAGGCCACACTCAGCCTCCTTGACGAGGAACAGCTGTTCGTCCAGGGCGTCCTTCTGAAGCTGGAGCTTCTGTAAAAAACCTGCTGTTGACTCCAGTTCCTTCTCCAGAGCAAAGATGGTGCGGTCTTTAGATTTGATTTCATCCACCTACAGCGAAGGAGAAGGACATAGTATTACAGAAAATGCTGAAAAGGGTGTTCTTTTATTGTCATTATTTCCAATGCCACTCTGCTAACTTTGCTGCTCTTCCATTACGGGTGTCTTATCGTATAGTACAGGCACTTTTCTTTTAACATTTGGTACATTTCCCTGCAGCTCTACTACTCTTTCAGATAGTTCACAAGAAACTTAAATGTAGCTGATGTGACAGGACAAAAATCTACCCCACTGCACTCCATCCCTGCTCCCATGCTGCACAGATATCCAACATCTGACAATGGTTATAATCATGTCAGCTGTTAAGTATTCAGTTACAGTGACTGTGCCTACCAGTCTGCGGATGTCCCTCTCACAGTCCCACTTGATCTTGGAGATCTGCTCCTGGTGCTGCTGGTGCTCCACCCGCAGGTCGCCAGCCTTCATCTTGTCAGACTGGATCATGGTGCTGAGAGCCTCATCGGTCTGCTTCTTGAGACTCTTCAGCTCGGCGATCTCCTGCAAGAGCTTCACTCTCTCCTGGTCAAAGAAGCGGCGTGCGTCTTCCTTGGCTTCCAGGGTCAGCGCTGTGCGCACCTGAAGAGGCAGGGGCGGGAAAGAAGAGGGGTGTTGATGAGGTTTGGCAGGATTTCCTCGTAACACTTGTCAGGAGTTTTTTTTAGATTATCTGGGGGAAGGAAGGGTGAGTAATGAGTGCTTATTTCTAGTGCTCCCCTATCTGGAGCTTCTCCTCAGAAGTGAAGGTGACTGCCCTCTCTGTCCTGGTTTAGTTCCACAGCTGCTTCGGGATTTTGTTTGGGAGAAATGTATTGGTTTATTTTGGCACATCTCTTTCACAACTGCAAAATCAAACATTAGCTTCTCTTCCTCTTTTTTAACCTCACCTTCTCTCCGCTGCCGTCACGCATGGCATTCAGCGCGGCTTTGAGCCTCTGGTTCTCCTGCTCTTTGATTTTGGCGTGGCGGGCCAGCTCCTGCTCATGTTGCCGCGTCAGGTTTTCCCTGAGAGCCTGGAGCTCCTTTTGCTTTTCCTCGTGCCACTTGGCCCGCTGCTCTGTCAACATGGCAGTGTGACGGTGCTGCTCCTGCTCTCGCACCCGCTTCACCTCCTGGACCTTGTCGCGCTCTAGTTTGCTCACCTTTGAGAGGAGCGACAGAGAAAGAGGAATTGGGTTATTTTAAACAACTGGCAGGTGTCAGACATTGTTTTTGAATATTTGACAAACTGATTTATCTTTATTTTGATTTTCTTTATTTACTTAAAATTGTTTCAGTTGAGGTTAAAATGTCATTAATCTTTTTAAGGGTGTAGTAATGGTCTAAAACATGGAGGGAACAGAATCAAGTTGGAGGTTCTTTAATCAGGAAAAAAAGTGAGCACCATTTCATGCAAATATATGAATTTACATGAACAACAATGCGTAAAATGCTCCATTTCTAATTCACTAAGCCTATAATCACACTAAGTTTTCTTGATAGAGATCTGATGCACCTTTACTACTCACCTGTCCTGTTTTTGATTTATGATCAATTGTAATTTTTTGGACTTCAATTGTAAAAGACCAAATGATTGTTTTAACACAAAATCTATTTCCCAGGCTGTGTACTGCTGAAACAAGCTCTACAAGTAAATGCCCAACCTCCGCACTTATAGACTGAACCCTGTCATAGTACCATGATATGTTCACCATCATCACGTCGAGTCTGTGAGAGCACTGAGCCATGACAGGACTTCAGAGCTCAATTCAGAGCTCCAAAAGTAAATATGGTACACTATGGAAGTTATTTTAACTCCTTTCTTTTACATCGCCACATCGTTTTTTGAACTATGGTTAATCTTCCAAGCAAGGTCCAGTGAAGTCTGCATGCCAAGCGGACTCTCTGGAAGTTCTCTGGAAGTTTGCCCTTCCTGGTTCACTTCATGAATTATGCATTTGGACAGCCCTGAGCAAGTGCGATGTGGTCGGAACATTTAGATTTAGCCAAGATAGAACAGTTTGCATGTAACCTGAGAGGTGAAAACAAGTCAAAAAAGGAATAAAAAATAAAAATAGGCCACAAATCAGGAGGGCATCATTTCCCCTTGGGATGGGAGGGATGTTCCCCTTCAGTACGCCCTTGCATGAATTAAAGCACAAAGTCTCGAATGTAAGAGAGGTGTCGCACTTTGAGTCCTCACTGGCATGTGGCCAGTTTTGTACATGTAACATACAGCAAACTAATGTAATACACAGTGTTCTGTAGTTTACTGAATGAATGTATAGTGTACAAAGAAGTCACAATGCAGCACTTTACCATTAACTGAAGATGTGAAACTGTAACACAAGCATGACATATAGCTATAGTGTCATGTCACAAGATGTACTTGCACCTGACCATGTGCAGCTTGTAGTGTCCAAAGGTTGCTGTAAACATTCCATTTAAAGTGTCCTCATGTTTTGGACCTGGCCTTTAAAAACATTATAAGCCAGTGTGACTTATGGCTTTGTGGAAGTATTGAGAGTGAGCTACCATATTTTAAATACTCAGGGCAAATGTGTGTATTCTGATGCTGAACAGTACCTTGCATTTTTCTTGATGTAGCTCTATCTGAATGTCAGTCAGCTTGGACCTGAGATCTTCATTGGCTGCCTGCAGGGCAGAGATGAGCGCTTCGGGCTTCTCGCTCTTCGTACGCCCTTTCTTGGCCATTGAGTCAATTACTAGAGAGGCTCTTCTAATGCTTTCATTGAGACTTCACAGAAACTTTCCGAGGCGCTCCCAAGGTTTCCAGTTCCTCCTCTTCCTCATTCTCCTATCAGAAAAAAGGGCTTGGGTGTGGAGGAGAAACAAAGAGGGGAAAGAATGAGAGAGTGCAGAATGCAGCGGTGACATATGAACACGTAGCTCAGGTGCAGACTAGCTTGTGCTTCCAAGTGTGTGTTTGTGTGAGCAAGTGAGAAGTGTTGGTAGTGAAAGATTAAAGATACACGCTAGATTCCAACTCCAAATCTATATGTGAACAAAACAAAGACCCTGCAGCCTCAACTGGGTCTGGAAGGCTATACTGTGGCACAGAGGTGCTTTGAGCTAAATGCTAATATCAGCATGCTAACATGCATTAGCATTATGATGTTTAGCAGCTTGTTCATCATGTTCACCATCTTAGTTTAGCATTTAGCAACATTATCCGCTACTTGCATTTATACACCTGAATCCCTGCATTGTTGACGGTCCCGTTGTATTTTGGGTAATGAAGGCATCAGGTTTTGACAAGCAAGAGGAATACATGGAATATAAAATAAATTGTTTCTGGTTCTGCTGCTTAAATGTTGATCCTTTTCTTCTGAACACTGTCCATTGTAAGTCTGTTATTGTGTAAGTGTATTGTGGCAAATGTCCAGTGTGTAGGATTTAGTGGCGTCTAGCAGTGAGGTTGTAGTACTGAAACTGTGTAGAAGAAATAAGGTGGCCGACGCTAAAATGCAAAAATGTGGTTGCACTGGGGCCCATGAGGTGGGGGGACCCATAGAGAGTGGGCTATCCAACAGTGTTTTAGGTGGAGAATGGGCCCTTATAAGTGACTGCCACCTTGGAAATATGCCTCTTTTCAAAGAAGAGCTCATTAAATTAAAAACAGTACCATATTCTATATATGCCCTTGAAAAAGGCAAACCCATCTCCATCATGTTTTTTTCTTTTTTTTTGTAAAGCAGTCAGTAGCATCTATAACAAAATTATAAACTTATTCCAAATAAACTATAATAAATTACCAAAATTGTTAACTTTAATAAAAATTCTCATTTTCTTTGGTATTTTTTGTGACATACAGATATGCAGTGATGATTTCTGGGTAATATGTATGTTAACGTCCTCCAGTGTCAATTCTCTGATCATGTGACAAGACAATACGTGCACGATTGTGTACACTATTTAGCCCCTTATAATAGCGTGCACCGAGGCCCGCCATAACTACCTTACACAACTGGAGTCACTGTTTAGTTTGTCCGTTCTGGGCCACTGTAAACAACTCCATTATGACCTAATTGGACCCGCTCAGTTTGTAGACACAAACAGCTCATCCTACAGTAACGAAAACACAACGATTCTCGGTTTAATGTGATTTTTAACTAATAAAAACATAGCTATGAATATGACATACCATACCAATAGATGCCCCTGTATCCTACACACTGAACCTTTAAGGGGTGATCAAAGTAATTACAATTTATTTTGTGGGGAACATGAATGCTGTACCAACTTTCAAGGCCATTCATCTAATGAAGATAACATATTAAAGTTATAAGTTAAAGCAATTATTTCTAACATGTTCCCAATATGTTAGAAGACAAAGACGACACAAAGAAGCACAATATATTCAATAAAAAAATTAAACAAACACAATCCTGAAATCCAAAAACACAAAAAAGGACAGCTAAAATAACAATGTCATTTCAAAATTCGTCTGTTACCCAATTCCTTAGGTGTTATGTAGTGGTACTACAGTAGTAAGTCATTAGTAATAATGTTACAGGCTTAAAGAAACTTCCATTGGGTTAACAAGTAAGCCATGAAATGATTTTGATTAAACAGTCATGGATGTGTAAAATACTAGAAGCATGCCTTTTGGAACAAATGGTTGTCTGGGTAAGCAGACTCAGTGGTTATCCTTCCTGCCCTGCTATTTGCCTTTTCTTCCTGCACTGTTTGAGGTCAGCTGAAAGCCAATGACCTGCTGAGTGCTGCAGACAGACATGTTTAGGGCGTACACTAATGTAGCGGGGCTCAGACTAACGCAATGAGAGAGACTGAATGCTCTGAGCCATCCCATATCACTTTGTGAGACCATTAACATTCAGGTTGACATGGGAAGGACAATTTTCTTTTTAAATTCCCAACATATTCTGTCATCCTGTCAGATTAAGTCTGCATTACCACAATGTGTGTGTATGTGTAATTCAAACTTTGCAACATAGGTAGAAAAATAAAGTTTCATAAAGCACATTAAGTGTATACCACAGAAATACACATAATACATAATCTGTAAGGCTTCTTGCATCAGATGAAAAAGCCTGACTGGAAGAAGAGACGGGACCTTTGTTATCTGTGTGTACGGGGAACTGAACTGAGTCTGTGTTTGCACAGCCCTCCCTACCTACACATCCACATACAACTGTCCTTACGTACAGTACAAGCTATTCTTTGGTGGGGTTCAGACTCCAGACTGCTATGAGGAGAACTCAGAGGTTATTTTGAAATGTTAAGATAAGATAAGATACACCTTTATTGATCCCATAATTGAGAAATTCCAGTATTACAGCAGTCAAGGGGAAAGAGTCAGATTAAAGATTTCAAAATTTAAACTTAAAACTTAAAAAACTAGGCATGCAAAATAAGTACAAAAATACAAGAAATGGCTATAAATAACAACAATAATAATAACAATAACAACAATAATTATAATAATAATAATGAGATGTTATGTCAAATAATAGTGTGTCCCCATTACACAGAGACCTATAAACTCACTCAAGGGCACTTGACAGATAAACAGATGTCAGTGCAAATGTACTACATTTTGCATTCAGTGTCATGGATTGAACCTTACTGGTTGGCTAAACAAATGCAGTTGGACACAATGTGACTGTACTATTGATTCATTACAAAACAAACCAATCTCTACAGGGACTTGGCATCAAAATTATGCTTTAAAGGAATATTTCACCCACTAAATGACCATTTATATATTCATTTTCCGGGCTGTGTGTTTAATTCATGAAGAAAACCTTTTTGTTCTCACATGCCTTTGGTGAACGAAGAATCCAAAAACAGCAAACAACTGAAGTCATTGGGGGGCTCAGCACTTCCCAAACATGTAGCATTAGCTTCCCTTTAGCCCAGGAGTGAAGGTTAAGTTTTTTTTGTTTGTTTGTTTGTTTTTACTATTTTCATTTTTATTAATCATTGTCGTAGGCCTAAAGAAATTCTTACATTCTCAAGCTGCAAAAATGGGTAACCTATGCACTGAATTTAAAAAAAGAAAATCAAAAAAAAAAAGTTTTAACATTTCGTCAACTCAAATGTGCGTCATATGTCTACAACCTGGCACCTTTTCCACTAAATTATGCCAAACCTCAACAGCAGTGGCTTGTTTTGAACCTCCCCAGCTAGGCTAGCAATGGATTCCAAATCTATAAAAGTAAAAGTCATAGAGGAAAATACAGAATTTAATAGTGCATGGACAGATCTGTTTGCATTCGCCACAAATGCAGCAATGTTAAAATACCAGATAATGATAAATAGCCCACAGAGGAGCCATATTGTGGTAAAACATATTTTTGAATGCTCATTTAGACCTATTTTTAATGCTGATAGGCTCATTTAGACTTAATACGGAGTGTTACCATAAGGCTAAAAATGTTTTGTGGCTCAAGGCAGATTTCTTTAATTATTTTTGGTCAAAAATGTCTCTTTTGATAGTTGAAGTTGCTGACCTTTGCTTTAGCCCTTACTGACCGGAACTAAAAGGGAAACTTATCCATGTTTTTACTTTCAGTCTCTTTCAACAACCACTGGAACAATTTACAACTTATTAGCATAAATGTGTGGTTACAGTAACACTTATTTTAAATGTACCATCGTTGCCTAAAATTCCTCTAAAATAGGAACTGATATGTACCTGTAACTTCTGGGAGAGGGATTTGGAAAGGACAGTGTTGTTTTATAGCATTACCATGTTTTATTTCAAAGATATGTCCTTTCTCAAAACTCTACCCAGTTATGAAGCTACTGTATAAATATTTACTGATTTTTTCCTAAAGATTTGAATTACTGAGTGGATACTCACCATGGGCACAGTGTTAATGTTTTGTAATTTCCTTAAATTCTATTAGTTAAAACATCCCCAAGGTTACACTTAATACTTTAATAAATGGTGTTAGATTGTGCACACTGTATGGTACTTGCACAACACATTTCTTGCACATTATGACATGCATGGGAGCTGTGATTGGGGTCAGTCAATTGATTAACCACTTGAGGTCTAACTATCAAAAGGTCACTGGTTCATCACATTTGTTTGAAGAATCTACAGACACAACAAATAGCCTAGCGTACAGCATGTGCTCATTGAAATTAATCCTTATTTGATTGTCTGCATTTTATGCATTTCTTGAATTTCTATTTCAATTTGTGGTGACATTAAAATCAGATAGTATTACATGATATTATTATTGCACATGCTAATCTCCTATTACAGTAAATAAGGTTTTCTCAAAGTTTGGCTCTTTTATCAGTGTAATTTATGTACTTGCATGCTGAAGGGTTTCCTCACTGTACACTTATTAACGACCCACAATAGTGCACATGCATATGAACGTGCACACCATGATGCATAGCCATGATGACTCAAGAGGAGTTGGATGGTGTCTGTCATAATCTGAGGAGGGATGACATAACATCGCTTAAAAGATTTTGAGGTGCAGATTAGAGATGAAGCGTGATGATCACATTTAGTCAGCACGGGCTCGTCATGCTGCGGTGTTACGGGGCCCTTTTAAAAGGGTTCCTGCTCTTTAAGCATCACTTATTGAGGTTGTCCAAGAATACATTTACAAAAACCACTGGACCAGTAACTGTGCACGGGTTACTGTGTATGCCAGCGCACTGTGTGGAAAAAGAGCAAAGTAACTCTGTCAAACATGATTGAAAATGTTGAGGTTCAAACATTTGGGTCATGTAACAGATTCACACCTATAATTTGCCAGTAATCAGTAACTTCAGGCTAACTTGTGTGTGTGTGCTGCATAATGTCATTGTATAGTGTCCACTT